CCCCAAAACCCCAAAACCCCAAAACCCCAAAACCCCTAAATTTCACAGAAAATTGAATCAGATAATATTTATTTATGAGAAGCACATCACTTGACACTGCAGAAGTACTGCGATTAAAAATTAGCATACTAAAAGAGTTAAATGAGAAAGTAGGGCCAAAGTCTTCAGAATATATTAAAGGCGCTTGTTATCCTCTTCCTGTTTTCATTATCCAGTCCATTTAAATTATAAATAAGATACATAACACTTGAGAATGACAGATTTCTCAATTTCAATTGCCAATTTTGATTTGTCTGAAACCTATTGATTCTTAGCTTTCCCCTTAAAATTATTGTGACCTGATTTTCTGGAAGAATAATCATAAATCATCAAGTTTTAGGCTAAGTCACATTGGCATTAGTAAATTATAATTTTGCTTTCTTCAATTGGATAACTACGTCATTGGTGATTCAAATAAGTTGAATCTTAAGAAGAGATATTGAAATGTAAGGGTTGATGTTATATTCCTAAAACTTCGTTCTTCTCTTGATTGTCTAACTAATATTATATTTCTGAATTTCCCTGCAATAAAGGCAGAGAAAGAAGTCCAAGAACTTATGAGTAAGTGCTCTCTTCTTTCGGTTTTGAACCAGAGGGATAAATCTATTAGAATTTAAGTGTAATACTTTAGATTATAATTACTTTATAGGAGATATGAAATGTTCCATCCAAGATTTAATTAAACCAATCACAATTTTGGCTGAAGCCTTGGATTTCGAGATAAAATTATTGACTGAAGAGAAGGATTCCTTTACTAACCCAGAACAAAAGAGAGGGTTCGAGATAAACCAGGTGATTAAGACCATCCAAATTAATAAGGATTTGATTCAAATGTATAAAGAAATTTCAAAGCAAGCAATCATGAAAGCAGAAAATACGAGAGCTGAGATCTCTGAAAAATGTTACATGACTGATGAAATAAGCTCTCGGATCGATGCAATGGTGAAATTTTATTCCATGTTTTAGTCCCTCCCTTAACCTAGTTTTGGGCTCTCTCATAAAGTATAAGCTTTCTCTTAAGAATCCAAAACTCTACTTATTTTTGAAGTTCTCAATTTTTAGAAGCCTTAACGGGGTTTTGGGGTTTTGGGGTTTTGGGGTTTTGGGG